GAGGCACCGCTTCGGGCAGGGCTGCCTCTGTGGGGGTTTTTCCCCCCTCTGGCCTCAGTGTTTTCAGACAGGAGCCGTGCCTCCTCCTGCGGAGCAAGATGCGCATGCTGATGGGCTGCTCGGGGGCTTGGGGTGGATGCAGGAGCAATAGGTCACAGCAGAGTGTAAAAGTAAACCTGGCATTTCCACCCAAATGTTACTGAGCTTGGATTGCAGTGTAATAAAAGCCTTCTCTTTGGAGAGGTGCCGGTGCTTGTTTTCTGTGGCTATCTGCATGTGTCGAAGCTGGGAATAATAAGTGCGTTTTGGAGTAGAAATTCCCCACCAAGCACGTGTGCTTTGGTTATTTATTTATTTCAGAAAAAAAATGCTCCAACTGTTGATATCTTCTGTGTTTTTTAAAAGAGAAGCTGTAAAGAGATAGATACCAAAAGTTAAAAAAAAAAAAAACAAAACAAAACAAAAATGAAGTTCTGATCAGAATGTGTTGCAGTGATTTAAATAACGATTTCTAATCATTTTATCAATTGAATTGTTTTCTCGGCTAAATACTTGTGTAAAACACAAGATGCTAGTCTCTAAATGGATACTTTTTGATGTCAGTATCCTTTGCGTCTGCGTTTAACTAGCACAGACTGATAGTGGGTCAATTTATTTTTAGATGGAGCACAATTTAGTTCACTTCTGGTGACATAAAACAGTGTCACTACTCATATAATATGGTTTCAGATGTGGGATAAAAAAGGGCCCAATATGATTAGAAGAAGAATTCTCTTGCACGTTTTTGCCCTGTTTTCAACTGTTTTAAGAGGGCACTAGTTTCCAGACATTGGATTACAGCGTGTCATGAGGAAGTAATTTGCTCATAGGGTGCTACTTACACTTATTTTTTTCTCTTAGAAGTTAAATAAAGTTGTATGAAGTTTTATAAACTCACAAAGTTTCATTAATGTATTTTTTTTCTCTTTTGTGTGTGTTTGTTTTTCTGGAACAGTAAAATTTTTAGAAGTCATTAAGCCATTCTGTGCAGTGTTACCTGAAATCCAGAAACCGGAAAGAAAAGTGAGTGCCGTGTGATGTGCTAACTTTCATTAGCTTAAAGATAAGAGAATGTTGTGCTGTTCGAGTTCACACTCTCAACATCAATACAGACAGTGGGCCCTGGAGTAGGATATATTCTTTGGAGGAGGTGGAATTCATGCTAGAGTAAAAGATGACCATGATCAATTCTTAACAACCTTCTGATGTTGTTCCACTTAGTAATTATGCCTTTTTTCTTTTACAAAGTTTCATCTCTAGACACTAAGTTTATTTAGTTGCAGCCCAGTTTGAGAACTCTGTTCTAGTATGTTAAAATAAATTAAATGAAGCTTTTTTTTTTTTCATGTGGATACCACTGTTGGATTTGAGTACTGGTCCAGCTTTGGGCTGGATTGTATATTACTTTGAAAAGGCTCGTGCTGTAATTCAGGAACCATAAATTTAGTTCTTCCTTTCCCATAAAATATTCTCAGGCTTCCATAGCTGTGATTCATCTTGATAACTACAGTTCAGGTAGTTGCTCCTTGTTCACCTACTGGATGTGACACTATTCTGACTATATATGATCTCTTATCATGTATAGTCAGACTATATGACTGATTTCTCTATTCCCCTAGCCCTAGAAGCTCCTCCCATTTCTCCACACATTTTCTGGCTTAAAATTAGTTAATATCTGCAGATCAGAAGAGACCTGCCTTGTCTCAACATTTTTTAATTCCAAAAGTTAAGCAGGCACTTAGCACCTGGGTGACAAAGTTTCTAACTTAACACATTTACCTCTTAGTCATTGTTGTGCCTGGCATGAAAATTCCTTGAAGAGTTAAATGTTGATTTTGGTATTTTTAAAAGGAAGAGCATAGCTGGGAACGTGACACCACCTGGGAGAACCCTCTTTTGTTGATTAGAGATTCCCAAAGGGTAGAGGTGGATGCAGAGATGTTTGTGCCAGTAGCCATAGCTGAGCCTGCTGGAATGAATGGGGAAGATACAGTGAAAACTGCTGATGATTTCCCTCTGGGACTGATCAGTAAAAAGATTGGTATTTATCCCCCGGCTTTTTGCTACATCTCTCTTCCCTTGTTGCTTTCCAGCATGCTCCTTCCTGGGACAGGTTTCAAACAAATTACTCAGGTCTTCAGAGCAGGCATCTGCAGAGCCATAGCCTGTGCTAAGGTTTGGACGTGGTGGAAGGTACCCATCTTTGTTTCAGCAGCAGCAAAGCTTTGTGCAGTCTTCAGTTCATGGCATCTCTGTGATTAGCTGGTTACATCCATCTCACTTTCATCTAATTAAATGGATGGGAAGAGGAAGCTAAGAGAACTCTGCAGATACTGATGTGTCTGTAAAGCTCCTTGGTAGTTGTGGTTTTTCTCTCTCTCTCCCTCCCTTTCTATTTGGCAGAGAGGAAGAGGGGCTTGATCTGTCCATATCCTCCATAAGCAGGTGAGGGATGCCCAGAGAGGTTCCTGTCCTCTCTATTTGGGTCACTTTGTCTTTATTCCTATCTAGGTCACTGTCTAGGCAATGGCTGCCAGTTGCCAACTTTGTACAAATTTGAAGTGAAAATACAATTGGGAGCCTCTTTCCTAGGCTAAAGTGACATTTGCCCATTTCAAGTTAGGTTCCTTGCTTGTGTGTCATTTATCAGGTGACCCAGGTCATTCTATGTAACTGTAATTCTTTGTTATTTATTGTTTTCTTGCAAGCTGGCACTGGCAGACACTATTAGTAATGGTTTTAGTGGGTTGATTAAGGCCAGGACAAGACATGAAGACAACAAAATAGAAAAAGAAATCCATTTTCTTTAAACTTGTATTGATTGTTAAGTGAAGATGAAGATTTGGTTCAGCTGGGCTCTCATGGAATCATTTTGCTGCTGTTGATGAGGGAAGTCAGCTTTTTCTGTCACTAGGGAGTGTTGCTTTTGTGTTTTGCCCAACTTGATTACCAGAAGCAATTGCTACTTTTGTAGCTAGCAGTATTTGCAGGGTTCATATTTCCCTCATATGCACAGATTTTTCTGAGTAGAACACGCTGTTCAGAACACCAAGAAGATGATGCTGAAGTCCCGTCATTTTCACAAGTTTTAAGAAAAATGTCAAAGGAATAAAATGTCCCATTGAATCTGATCAGATGCTGAAATGTACTTGCTGTCCCTGTGCTCATTACCATTTGTGGCTGGAATATTTTGGTACCAGTCTGTCTTTTGCTGTTCCTGGCATATGGATTCAGATGTCTCATTTTTCTTTTTTACCTTTTGGATTCATAGAGACTGTTTCCCTTGTGAATAACTATGATTTGGGTGATGCAGAATTTCCCTATTGCTCATATTCACTGCAGCTACAGAGAGAGCTGGAGCAGTTCTGGAGCTTGACTGGTGCCTCAGAAGCTAAGGTTAACTGCTGGGCTGCAGAGATAATTTGGCTAAGCATTTTTCTTTTTAAAAGTCTGTGCCTAAAATCTGAATTACGGAATTCAAACAGCAATTGGTAAAATGGGTCAGCACTGCTTAAAGTCTAACTCATGATACTGTTTGAGTTGGTTTGTTGCTGTCACTATTTTTTCTTTTTTAAGCTTTGTACTGTAAGTCATTTTAGCATCTGGCCTCTTTTAAAAGCGAGGCAGTATCAGTAAATAGATTAAATTATGGGGATTATATTGCTTCTGAGTAAGTGCATGCTTTCACTTATAAAGATACGGACTGCTTCTGAGTTTTCTTTGGCTTGGGAGGCTGTGCTGCTGCATTGGTTTGTAGTTTCTCTTTTGTGGGTGTTTAGTACCTATAAAATCAGGCACTAATCCTTTTTCTTGTTACCACTCTAGGGCAGATTCAGTGGTTGGAAACAGAAAGCTAGTATCTATCTTCTATCAGTATCTTCTGTATCTATCTTACATATTACTTCATGTTGTGTTTTAGTAGCTGCTGTACTCTTGCCTGCAGTGAACACAATTATCCTAATGTTTACAGTCCGTGGAGGAGAGGTGGGAACTTGAACATAATGCTGCATTTTGGCTTTGAGTAATCTCTGGTTCAAACTTGAACCTTGTTATTCTTCCCTTCTGCCACTAGTTACAGTTGCCTCAAATGTAGTGACCCTGTGATTGTCTTCAATGTATTAGTGACTAATCATTGATCTGATATTCTTTTTCAAGTAGTATCTAATCTACATTGATAGAAATATTTTGGAGGGAAAAAAAAGTCTTTAAAAAATATTTAGTGGTCTTTGTCTGTGAATATATAATAGTGAATGTAAGCTTCCTCCAACACAACTTTGAAGAACTTAATTCTAAGTATTCTGAATTGCTGTCCAAAACTCATGGTTCTTCTGGTTTTCATCACTTTTCTTCACAGCAGTTAAATCTCTAAAAACTTTATAATTCTTTATTTAGTAACTTCCAGCCTTACAAAACAGTGCCTCTAATCTGTTGAAGCCTAGAGCACTAACGACTGAAGATAAGCTTTTTGCATTGATTCTTTCATGTTTGTTCTGATATGTCCATGTGTTTAGGCGTGCTGTTGCTTTTCTGTAAATATTTCCGTGTTATAATACTATATATAAAACATATTCTACTGACTAAATGTCAGCTATGCTGTCTGCCAGATACCAAATTTTTCTTTGACTACACAGAAGCCCATGACTCTTTCAAAACTGAAATCAGACTAAAATTCTAATGAGAATTTATGTTTTCTGGATCAGTATCTTCACATTTACTGTGTTTAAATCCTCTGTACGAGGCACCCCTTAACCTCTCCAATCTGTTCTGTAGATCCAGTTCAGAGAGAAGGTACTATGGACAGCTATCACACTCTTCATTTTCTTGGTGTGCTGCCAGGTAGGTGTCCAGGTTTGCTCTGCTCCAGAAAATGTACATTCTGGTCACCTACAGCAGAATGCTAAAAGTGTGAGATGTTCTTGTTTCATGACCTACCGGTTTCAACTATGTATTTTTATGGTTAAGTATTTAAAGTTCAGTTAAACCAGGTTCTCTGAAGTATTTTATTGTTGATTGTATATATTTTCAGAAACGAATGTTTTCTGTTAGTTTAAAATATGTAATGTTTTTTCTTGTTACATGACAGTTCCTATCAAATGATGATACTGGCTGCAGCACAAGCACCCAAGCTAGGTACTCTCACTGAGTAGTCTAAAACAAACCAAGCAATATTATACATTCTTTACCCTCTGTTCACACATAAATATAAATTTTGGCAACAGCAAGTCTGAAAGTGAACTAAACTGACTCTTCTAACCTGAGTTCTCTTTAACAAGCTGATGAGTTTTAAAGATTGCAGAAAAATGTTTTGCTAGGATGTTTAAGTTGCCATTCAGAACTTTCTCCAAAATACAGGTCTTTGTAAACATTTACACTGTCTTTTTTCCTCACAGTTTCAGGATTTCCTAGAACCTATACTTGGGCTGTAAACACAAAGTGTTTGGATTTTTTTTTTTTTAATGTATATGTATGGGATATTTTAAAACATATTCTCAGCTGTAGAATTTGAATATCTAAACTTGCTGAAGGAAGATACTTACATTGTAGTTTATGCTGTAGCTTTAATTTGTACTGAGAAGAAATTCTGTTTAGGACCATTAAAATACAAACAAACAAAAAACCAAAACCACCAAAACAAAAAAAAAACCTGATTTCTTCTGGTGGTTTTTTTTTTTTTTTTAATACATTTTCCTAAAGATTTTTTTTTTTTTAGCTTAAAATTGCTGCAAAAATTTTGGTTAAATAAATAATGGAATACCATTTGATATTTTTCCCCATCCTGCTAATGTTTTGTGGTGGTTAACTTATTTTATGTTTTTTCTTTTCTTTTGGGAGGCTGTGTTATCCAGAGTCACATATGTCAGGCATTTACATCAGCCTCAGTAATCTGGTTGCTGTGCACTGACTGACTTGGAGGAGTTTCTGCTCCTTCCTGCAGAAGGGTCTTGGCTGATGTGGTTCAGTCCTCCACGTCACAGCCCAGCTGGAGGAATGAAAATAGATGGTGTCAGTGTCTCTGTTATTGTATGCTCAGGTTTAATTTTTAAAAAAGTTAGAATAACTGATATTGAACATCAGAACAGTTGAATCATTACAATTTTTGGATTAACAGAAGCTTTCCTTATCTATCTGCTTAATGATACTGCTGTGCACTTGGACAGATCCCTTTGTTTGGAATCATGTCATCGGATTCTGCAGACCCATTCTACTGGATGCGAGTCATTCTTGCATCAAACAGAGGTTAGTAGATTATTTCCTTTCTCTCTGTTTTGTAGCAGTATAAACAGGCCAGGATTAAAACACTTGGCTGTTAAATTTCATACAACCCAGATGTCATGTTGAAACACTTTGTGAAGTTCTTAACACAGCTGTAATTAAAATCAGCTGATACTTGAGGAGTACTTCATCTTAGGAATAGGCTTTCCTTTGAAGTGCAGATGAGATTAGCCTTGGTTCTCAAGTTTAGGGATGATTCTGTCTCAAACTGTAGAGCAGTCTCTTTCTGAATAATATATGGGTTGGAATCTTCTGCCCCACCACTTATGAACAGCACTATTTGCAGTACTGAGTGGTGAGTAAGAAACACCTGATGTGTGCAAGCCAGTTACACCCCGTATTTTGGCAACATCCTGGGTGAGTAATTTTATAGGTGGGAAAGCTAAGGGCAGAGATGATTAATTTTATAGTTAGCAAAGCCAAAGTAACTAACTTTAGACTAGACAAGTGAATCCAAACCGAATGTGTAAGAAGACTTTAATGCTAGAAGTCTGAAATTTAAGATGAGTGACCTGGATGCACGTCTCTAAATGAGGACACTGACCTCATCTGTATCTTGGAAAACTGGCTGGAAGGAAGGAAATCGATGGAACCCTCTAATATGAAAGTACAAATTATTTAGGAATGGCAAGTTTTGTCACTCCAATGAAGATGATAAATTAAGGTAAATAAGTTATCTGTTTTAAACTCTACTGCAGAATTTGCATATAAAAAGCTGTGTCTCACTAGCAACGTCTGATACCAAATATACTTATCCACTACCCAGACAGAATGGTAACAGTGGCCAAGGAAAGACTAGAGAGACTGTAAAGGCAACAAAAAGCCCAAGTGGGAAAGTTAATTTGTGCTCAAGTCAACTGACTAGACGTCATTGGAGGATGTGAGGTAAAGAGCTTTTGAAGTTCTAATTTTCGTGCTGTTGGAGAAGCAGAGATTTCCCCGAGAGGTGACATGATATTTACCTAGTACTGAGCAGTGTGTAGGCTGTAGGATGCAGGTAGGAAAGAATCACATTATTATAATGACTTTAATACTTTAATGTTTTACATTTATAGCAGAGAAAACACTAAAAAAAAAAAGTTGTGCAATAATGCTTAAAATTTTAAAAAATTGGAACTGAAATGAGGACTCCAGTAGTTAGGCAAAAATGAAGACTCCATACAATAGGAGAGGTGCTTAAAAACAAATTCAAATTATTTCAATTAAAGGCTCTTCAGGAAATTAAGCTATTTCAGGATGAGAGGAAAGACCCAGCAGCTTAAGAACTGGTTGAAAAGACAGGAAGAGATAGCTGTACAAAACTGTAAGGTGCCACAAATTGAATATTACATGCAGTTCTAATTTAACATGTCACAAAGGGTATTGTAGAACTGGGAAAAAAAAAAAGGCAGCCACTCAGGAAAAGGCACCAGGGAGAATCTAAGGGAGATATTAACCTATAGGAAGGGATCCTAAGAAAATAAGGATTCTTTGCCATGAAATGTGCATATCCCAAATGTCGTTTAAGTCTTTGTGGAAAAAAGTGGATAGGGAACAGATAGTCCCTTTTTCCTTATAATGTAAGAAGGAAGGGGCAACCAACAGTATTAAGCAGCACATAAAACTCAAAATTTCCAAATAAATTACTGGCAGAAGTTGCCAGAAGCAGTTTCTGAATAAATTACTGACATATGGGGAAAGGGAAATACAGAATGATAGTTGCCCTAAAGAAGAGTTGTATACAGCTGGAAGTTGATACCTCAAGGACATTGTGGCACTCAGTGAGTTGCACAGTAGAGCATCTTAATGATGCGTTTGTTTTCATCCTGAACTTGTTCTTAACAAACTTCTCTGCTCATGAGAGCCAGGCATTCCTAGAGTGGCAATAGCAGCCACTGTGGCTCTGCACCATCTTTCCTGTGGTCTTCAAAATTAAACTTTTGGAAAATGTGACAGCTGAAGAACTGACAGAGTAAATGACCAGGGACAAGATGCTTTCCAATGAAAGGTTGCTTGATATGATATCCCAAAAAGCAGAGCTGCAGTATGTTTTGACCTTTAGTGGTAGCATGGTTTCACAAAAATACCTGAAGTGAAAAACTCCATGTTTTAATGCTGCCTTCAAAATTACAGATTTTAACAGGGCAGCCTTCCTTTGTGAGGAGGTAACAGTCTTTGTTTTGATTATACCTGTAGTGGAATATACATGTTTGAAGTGTGATGAATAATGTTCCTCATAGGTCAGAAACCTTCCAACAGACTGTCAAAACAATAATATCAGGGGGTTTATTATTAATACCAGCAGAAAGTAAACAAAGTTATGGTCAGCCCGTGCACACTGGTTGTGAGCTGTGCACTCCCAGCAGTGAATGCAAGATGTCCAACTGCCACCACAGCTCTAGAGAAAGCACAGTGGTCACAGCAGACAGGAGAGGAGGCCTCTGGGGCAGACTGATGGGTGAGACCCTCCTGGGCTGGTGGCCATCAGGAGAAGAGACTGTCCCAAATAAACTTCTTAATTTGTAGCGAGTGTGATGTTTATGGCATGGAATGCTTCTGTTGGCCTGCTTGGGCCAACTGCCCTGGCTTTCACTCCTCTGAGCTTCAGCGCCTGGTCAACTCAAAACTGCTGAAAACCTTGATCATGATGCAGACACACATACCATGGCTGGCCAGAAGCAAACCCAAAGTGTCTTACCAACTTTGTTCTCATGGAGTCAGGTGCTGCAGCCTTCTTCAGAAATGCAGCTTTCCTGAACAGCAAATTGATTCTATGATTCTATCCTGGTGAAACCAGAACACAGAGCTGATGTCCTCAGAGTGTAATTCTTTAGGAGAGATGCTTGAATGGCAGTTGTGTTCATTTTCTTCCTGTTTAGGTACTTTGATGGAATTGGGTATCTCCCCCATCGTGACCTCTGGTCTGATCATGCAGCTGCTAGCTGGAGCGAAGATCATTGAAGTTGGTGATACTCCAAAAGACAGAGCCTTGTTCAATGGAGCTCAGAAATGTAAGCACTGTTCCAATTAAAAATAATAAGCATATTTTTATTCTTGGGAAAGCAGCCTGCCTAAGTGATACTAGATGTGAGATTTCTTTGGTAGGTGATTTCAGCAGATTTTTTTTAAAGGATTTGCTTTCTCTCTTGTTTTAGTATTTGGGATGATTATTACCATTGGGCAAGCCATTGTGTATGTTATGACTGGAATGTCCTGCTGAAATGGGTGCTGGAATTTGTCTTCTTATTATAATTCAGGTTTGTAATGAGCTATTTTGTGTGTAACAGACTGGTTAGATACATTATAGCTGGAAGAAAAAACCTTTCTATGTCTGGTTGCATTTTATTTATTTGTAATGCTATAAAGCATCATCCTTTGTATCTGTCTATATATGAGAAATTCTAAATATTCCATAAAGGAGGAGAAAGTTTGGATAGTTAGTATGAAAAATTTTTCAGATAGGACTATTTGATTTGAAATGCAGGAATTGGTGGACTTTGAAAACAACAGCCAATGTTCAGTACTATGGAAGACATCACTAAATGGCACAGATGCAGCTTTGAGACATTATCATGTAGAGCTAAGCAGTAAATACACAAACTTAAACACTTTTTTGAAAAAAGTGCTTACTGAGTAATCAGTTTGTTAGTGCCAGTGTTGAAAAGTCACAGAGGTCATTGCCAGGTGAGATGTGCATGCATTTGTGTGTGAGAGGGCAGAAATACTGCAGGAAGGATATTTAGATGAAAAACTTAATGATCACTCTCCAACTTGATGAAAATACTGAAATATGGAATTCATACTTAATTCTTGACTCGATTTATTCTTGTTTCTGCTCAGTTTTGTTTCTTTTCCCACAGCTGTTTGTTGCTGGATTGATTGTGCTGCTGCTGGATGAGTTGCTACAGAAAGGTTATGGCTTGGGGTCTGGGATTTCCCTGTTTATTGCTACCAACATCTGTGAAACCATTGTCTGGAAAGCTTTTAGTCCCACTACCATCAACACTGGCAGAGGTACGTGGGTGACTGCAGTGAGTTATAACATGTTTTGGGGGAGCTACATATACATAAACTATCAGGTGTTTACCAGATGGATATTAAAAAAAGGTTTTAATGTGTCATGATTAACTTCTAAAGTTAATTGTCTAACATGGAGGATGAAAATGTTGTGTGACTTTGGTGTAGATGAGTAACCTACAAGTTTGCCTTTGCTGATATGAATCATAGTAGTTAAAATGGGACTTGAAGCCCCTTGACTGAACATTTTTGGATTGCCAAACTGAAATAATCTTGTTTTAGCATTGTTTCACAGAATCACAGAATGGTAGGAGTTGGAAAGGACCTCTTGAGATTTTCTAGTGCAGCCCCCCTGCCAAAGCAGGTTCATCTAGATGAATTAGATGAGCAGCAGATTGCACAGGAACATGCCCAGGCAGGTTTTGAAAGTCTCCAGAGAAAGAGACTCCACCACCTCTCCGGGCAGCCTCTTCCAGGGATCTGGTACTATCACAGCAAATAAGTTTCTCCTTATCTTTAGGTGGAACTTCATGTCTTCCAGTTTGTGCCCATTGCCCCTTTCCTATTGCTGGGCACCACTGAAAAGTCTGGCCCCATCCTTTTGACACCTACCCTTTAGATATTGATAAGCATTGAGAAGATCCTCTCTCAGTCTTCTCCAGGCTAAAGAGCCCCAGCTCTCAGCCTTTCCCTGTCAGAGAGACACTCCAGTCCCCCCACCATCTTCATAGCCCTCCATTGGACTCTCCAGTAGTTCCCTCCCTCTCTTGAACTAGGGAGCCCAGGACTGTACCCATCCCTACTGCTGGAGAGGCTCCCATCTCTTCATTCCTCAGCCAGTCTTTGACAACATCTGGGTTTCTGAGACCCTACAAATACCAAGTTAAGATGCAGCTTCTTTACATCAATGACTTAATTACTTTAATACACACATTTGAGATCCTGAGCTGTTTTAGTTTGCTTTCCTTTTCACCTGATTTTTAGTAGTTCTGTCTATTGCATTTTACTACTGCTTTTCTAACACTATTTTTCTCCCTGTTTATTATTTCTTCCTTCTAATCATCCTCCTGCCCCCAGAAAAGAAAGAAATTTCTTTCATGTGTGTGAATTTATTCCTGGTTAAAAGGGGATTGGGAGGAGAAGTTTTTGGTAGATGATTCTACACTCTGTAAGCTAAAATGGAATCCTCTATTGTGATATATTTGTGGTAACAAGATTTGTGTCCTATTATATCTGATTGTGTGTCATTCTTAAAACTGCCAAAACAAAGACACTGTTTTTAAAAGTGTGTTTAAATTGCAGATTAACATTCCTTTTACGTTTTGTCCTGCAGGAACAGAGTTTGAGGGTGCTGTGATTGCCCTGTTCCATCTGCTGGCCACACGGACCGACAAAGTCCGGGCTCTGCGGGAGGCGTTCTATCGACAGAACCTGCCCAATCTCATGAACCTGATTGCTACAGTGTTCGTGTTTGCTGTAGTCATCTATTTTCAGGTAAAATGGGAAATTCCTCTTAGCAGCTCTGCAGCTGCCTAGGTAGAAGCTCATGGATGTTAGACACTGGAGTCATGGGAGCAATGCAAAGGTTAAACTAGAGGAACTGAAGTATCTGAGCTTCGAGTAAGAAACTCCTTTTTATATCAGTATTAGTATTTCAGTAACATACCTCTGTGACAGTACAGCTGGTCCATTTTATAGCCAGAGGTACTGGTTCTCAGACAGTGATGTAATCTCACATTCCATTAAATGCTGTGCACACTATGGGAATATTTTTACTAAAAATGGCTTCTGGAACTGCAGTGATTGTATCACAGAAATAACATACTTGATCTTCATAGTTGACTTAAAAGAATTCTCTTTGGACACAGCTAAAGAACCTTGTTTCTTTAGGGTGTGCATGATACAGGTTGGTTCTAGAAAACAACTGTAATTAGTGCCTAGCTTACTGTTTTTTCCTTAATTTTCTTGAAATACTTAGCTAGATTTTTTTTTTTTTAATTTAAGTGTTTACTAATATGGACACTGAAGGAGATCCATATGGTGATTTTTTTTTTTCTTTTTGTGTGTAGTTAAAACGTGGGTTTTTTTTTTCGTTTGGTGTTTTTTGTTTTGTGTTTTTTTTTTTTTTTTTAAACTGTTGAATCAGAGTGTTGGCAAAAACCTGAACTCTTTCATTTTAAAATCCATGTTGCTTTTCTTGGGTCTGCTCAGGTAAGAGCCTAGCTCAGAAGACAAAGCCTGTTGTCAAGTGGCTAGTTAAGTTAAAAGCTGTTAACAGCTTTTATCAAACCCTGTTCTATAAAGTGTGTCTTAGAGGAATATAATGTAGCAGATGGGAGATGCTGTTTATGTAAAAAGAAAGTAATACAACCAAGCAGTAACGCTAATAAACCCTTAAAATGTGTAGTCCAGACTGTAGCAGAAAGCCTTTGGGCTTTACTGCCTCAGACCTTGCACTGCTTGTTTATTCAGCAAGACCTCCTTGGCCATGAGCAGCTTTTGGGCAAACACGGAATCAATCCCTTCTGCCTTGGAAATCCATGGGTGCCTTTGTGCTCTTTCCCGTAGGGATTCCGTGTTGATTTACCCATCAAGTCTGCACGATACCGTGGGCAGTACAGCAGCTATCCCATCAAGCTCTTCTACACCTCCAACATTCCCATCATCCTGCAGTCTGCCTTGGTTTCAAACCTCTACGTCATTTCCCAGATGTTGTCTGTTCGTTTTAGTGGCAACTTCTTGGTGAACTTACTAGGACAGTGGGCAGTAAGTATTTTAGCACTTTTATTATCAGCATAGAATTATTTATATGTGTTACTTTATTATGAAACTTTGGTAACTCGCCAGCAGAAAACTGGATTGCTTACTTCCTAACGTTTGTATGTAAAAGCTGTTTTAAACATGAATAGGAATTCTTCTCTAAATAGAGGATAGAAATGTGAGAGATCTGCAAGAAATAACTAATGGCCTTTTTCTTCCCCTCTTGCAGGATGTCAGTGGTGGTGGCCCTGCTCGCTCTTACCCCGTTGGTGGCCTGTGCTACTACTTGTCCCCTCCAGAATCCATGGGTGCAATATTTGAGGACCCCGTCCATGTAATAGTTTATATAATATTTATGCTGGGATCCTGTGCATTCTTCTCGAAGACTTGGATTGAGGTGTCTGGCTCATCAGCAAAAGATGTAGGTGTTCTGATAAATGTGCCTGGATGTTTTCAAACACTGCCTCTAATTTAGGGCTGAGTACCTACTAACTGGTCAGTTACTACTCTGACTAAATACCAGGTGACTATGAAACATTGCCACAGTTTCATAAAATTTACATTTTTTGCAGGTTGCCAAGCAACTCAAAGAACAGCAAATGGTGATGAGAGGCCACCGGGACACTTCAATGGTTCATGAGCTTAACAGGTAGGGAAATGCTGACCTCCAGCTGGATGGTTAAGAGTGCTGGGGAGGTGTCAACGAGAGCAGGTGTCCATGCAAAAATCTGAGGCCTGTTTCCACTGCAGATACCAAGATTCTTCCCATCCAGCCATCACCTTTCCTAGTAATGCAAAAAATGTTCTTAGTGGTAGTAAGAGATTAACCTGTAGGTACTGCACTGTCTTCTGTTTAAGTGGCATAATGAGGGAATTTGGGTTGAATCCCTTTCATGTTTGTAAAAGGAGGATATCTTGATTTTCACAGGTGCTTAGTTCACCATTACTGAGCTAAGGTGATGCTACCTCCAAAGCCTGCAGATCCATATTGAAAGGCAGATTTATCTCTACACATTTAAGTCAAAGCAGTTACTCTGGTCTGTGGAGGTTACATAGGAGCATAGACACACATAAAATTGTTACACTCTGAAGCTTGGCCAATGTTCAGTTACTCACACAGCTTTCCTATCAGTGAGTATTGTAGTTTCTACTTTGAGCAGATAGGGAACATAGAGCTAATGGTGGAGCAACGCTGTGTTTGTAGCTGAACATTCTAGTTGGTTGGTTGTTATTTTAGTAGTAGATGTCTTGTTGGAATCCTTGGATGAAAATTGATGACTATTATACTTCTGTTGTGTGTGTCTTGGTGCAGGTATATCCCCACAGCAGCTGCGTTTGGCGGCCTGTGCATCGGCGCCCTTTCCGTGCTGGCCGACTTCCTCGGAGCCATCGGGTCCGGCACTGGCATTCTGCTTGCAGTCACCATTATTTATCAGTATTTTGAAATATTTGTAAAAGAACAGGCAGAAGTTGGAGGAGTGGGTGCATTATTTTTCTAGATGTCCGAATATTTCATGGTTTGTGTGAAAGGGAAAGTATTTTGACAGTATGCATCATTTAGTCCAGTAATGCTCTTTTCTTTTGACTCGTCCTCAAGTGCTACGTGTCCCATTCCTGTCAGGGGCACTGGGCAGTGCCTGTGTGCAGCGTTAGTACCAGCTGCCTTAACAATCAAGTTTACATTATCTTGTTTGAGTATTATCTAGTGTTGCCTGTAATGCTGGAAACCAATTCATCTACCTTGCTATTCCAAACACTACAGTGAGATGGTGAAATGTATCAGTTTGATATCGGGAAACAGTTTTGCACACAGCATTAGAATGTTAAATTTATTTCCCTGTCCTTAATAGGAAAAAAAAAATTAAATCTGAGTTCAGATTGCCACATGCCAGTGTTCTTGATAAAATTTATTTGTATCCTATATTTTAGCTTGATTTTTTTTTTTTATACTTTTTTTAACTTGCATTTCCCCATCGTTGAACTCAGCACTCCTCATTCCTTTGTGGTGTCTCCACCCAGGCGCCTTTCTTTTAGCTCCAAGGGTGGACAAGCAAACATTTTACTGGAGACTGATACTCATCTCACCTGTGAGCTGGTTCTGTGGTGGGTTTGCTGCATCACAGGGCCCGGGGCAGGTTGGATTTTTGCCCTTGGTGCCTGTGGAACAGCATGGCAGCTGCTGTCGCGCTGCCCAGTCAGCCCCGTAGTCCTGTTCAAAGATGTACTTGTGAAATCTGTGCCACTGAAACTTCATGTCCACTTTGCTTTCGTGAGTCTGAAGAACAAGGCCTGGTTCCTAAAGCAGTGTTCATAGAAGGGAAAGGGGGGGAATCTGCTGAAAATTTATTTATGTTGTCGCCCTTTGCAGCGGCAATGTAACAACTGTAACATTAGACAATAAACTTATTTAATTAAGCTCTTTCCCGTGTCTTATCTGTGCGAGATGTAATTCAGATGCGGTTTTTGATCATTTCTAACATGCTTTGTTGGTGAGGCAGGTATGGCAGGCTGCTTTCTTTCTTCTCTTTATCCTTTCTAGAGTATAATTCTGATCAGTTTTTGGCAGCCTTATTTAAAAAACAAATCTCAAGACTCCTGCCCTGAAAACCACTGAGCTTTTCTGCTCAGCTGTAATCAGTGACTTTTTCCCTTTGATTTCATGTTTTGATCTCTTCTGTCTTCTTTCACACTTGAAAAGTAACTATGTGTTGTTTGTGAAGGTGAAAAAACCTTAAGTTTTCTGCTTTAGCTCTAAGCTAGGAAAGTCTTCCTCATTATACACATTCATCCAACTTCACTTCAGAAGCAAGACTCTGATATTAGCAGAAGTTTGTTGCTAAGCTTGGATGCTAACCTTTAAGCTGTGGTGGTTGTTTCCATAACTAGCAGCAGCTGACTGTGTGCAGGGACATTGAAGGTTTGTTTGCTTGGCAGAAGGTTTACCTAGAAGTGAAGAGACTGAGGGAAGGTGCCCCACTCGGATGGGTCCCAGGGAGAACTGCAAGGCTGTGCCATCTTGGGGCATGTAAAGCCATACCTTAAACAGAATCCCCTGGCTGGGTCCTGCACCTTTTGGGTTTGCACCAGTGGCTGTTTTGTTGTTACAATCATCATTGCCGGAGTATGTATTTTCTTTGATGAAGCAAACCCACAGGAGAAGGAAGCAACATCTTCAGGCCTAAATCATAAAAGGACATTCCTGGCAGTGCAGTTTCAGACCCTTCAGCCAGTGTCCCTGCGCTCTGCTCCTGCTCCTCTCACAGCCAATTACTGATCGCTGTTGAAATGCTGCTGCTTGTGAGGGAGGGCAGGAGAGGATCAAGCTCCTGGTGCCTGCCTCGCTTTGAACAGGCACTGGAACACCACCAACTGCAGTGAAGCGTCTTCCTGATACTGAAACACAAGTGCCATGATGAATATAGTGAGAAACAAGCCACTCTGAAAATTAAACAGCATTTTTATTGTGATTATTCTGTCAAGGCTTAATAGACTGAGAAGTTAAAGGAATGCTTTTTGTCAGTCACAGAATTACAGTTAAAAATATCAGAATCATTCCAGCAAATACTTTTGTTTGCTCTACAAGTAAAGCAAAGGTCCTTCAGGACAAGTTAAGTTACAGATCTAAGACTTCTGAACCGTGCAGTTTTCATCTAAATTTCTCATCCTCTAGTTTCAGAACTTCATAAAAGGAACTTGGAGCGGTTGTTCTGCTGCGCGCTTCAGGGCCAACGCGTAAGTGTAAACCCTGGCATCCACTGCAATGTGTTCCTCTGCTATGAGTTCTGGAAATGGGAAACAAAATCATTATGAGATGCTGTTGAAACTTCTCATCTACAGAAATTTACATCCTTTACTAAAAGGAAGCTGTATGGCATTCCAGACAGGAATTTTTAATGCTAGCAAGTAGTGCTCTCACTAACTGAGAACTGGCCGTGTCTCTCGCAGCTTTTTGTTCAGGATCCAGTATTCTAGGATGAGAAATGCCACCAGGAGCTATGAGAAGCTAAGCATTTTGTGAAGCATCCATTAGTGTATTTAGTATGTCAGAAAGCTCTTACCATCAATTCTCTGCAGTAGGTCGTTCTTTGGAAGTGAAATAACTTCCACAAATTCTAGGAGAGAAGAAAAAATGCTATGGACCTTTACATCAGTGAACAGTACAGGAAGTTGCCTCAGTCTCATTTCTTAAAATTCAGAGGGGGAAACAAAATGACTTAATGCTTATCGGCATCCAAAAGCTGTGAGCCTTCCTGTACCACAAAAGACAAATTAAACTGGGGAAGGCAGTGACTGGGGTCATTAAAAAACAGGTTTGGCAGAAAGGTACTGGGAGAGAGTTGGGAAAAGCAGTGTAGCTGATGGTACAGAAGGCAAGAATCCTTCTAAAAGGAGACCTCCTGAGAATGGAAAATCCACTGCTGAAGCAGACTTTTGTTTGGGGTTTTGTACAGTAATGGATTGTAGATGTGTTTGAAGGCCAAAACAACACAAAGGGTTTGTTCTTGCTGGATTTGTGCTGGTTTACACCTCCCTTGTGTCTTTGAACTAGTTCTCTTTGGGGCTTGATCTACAGCTGCTGTGGATTCAGTAATTTGTATTTCCCCTGATACTGACACTATAGGTGCAATAATTGAAGATAATTGATGCAATAGTGCCCCAGGGGAATTTTCATGTCTAGGCCAAAGTCAACCTCATGCATGTTTGATAAGGGTCAGAAGATTAACCAAGCCCAAAGAAAATCCGGTTTTAACTGACATTTCCTAATTAGAACTTGCCATACGAAGATCACCCTTGACCTTACTGTTACAAAACGTACCTCCGTCATCTGCAAATAAAAAAAACAGAAAGTAGTAGTAAGTGAAGGGGTTTGAAATACACTGAGCTTGGCAACTGAAAAGCATTTTGATAGCTGACTGATTGTGAGTGACACTGGTTACGGCCAGGGTCAAGCCCTGGATGAACCATGTTCACAGGGACCTCTGGCCCTCACTGAAGTCTGGCACATGAATGTCTCATGCTGGATGTGCCAATACCTGACACGTAACATCCAGTGAATTTAGGAAAGTGAATTTAGCAAAGAAACACATCTCCTTAAAAAGACTGCACGGTGTGATTTGAAAGACATACAGCATTTAAATCAGCTGGGGCAGAAGACATGCAATTATAAGGACAGTTCTTTTCAAGCCATTCTTTTTGCTATCCTCAGAATTTTCAAATAAATGGTACGAAACTCACCAAGTTTTTGCTTAGGTCTTGTGTTCTCAGCCTCATCTCCATTAATGACAACACTCACAATGTGTGTTGTGCTGTTTGACAAACCTGGGTCCAAGCAGAGAGCTGCCAACAAGCACAGGCAGAGGTTAATTTTTCAAAAGCAGAAGTTGGGCACCTTGACATTTAACAAATGCTTTCACAGAGATGTATCTGATACAACAGCACAACATAGTGACCTCGCCTTTCTACCTCCTCAAGCTTTATCATCCTCATTTTGCTTTCATCTTGTTTTATGTAGGAAGCATCAGATTGGCAACAGCCACGTCCCAAGGCTCTCTGGATTTACTCCAATTATTCTCTCCTTTCCAGCTGGAGAACCTGTGTAGGGTCACCTCTCCACAGCTCATACCAGGGGGACCTCCACTCAGGCTGCATCATGCAGCTATTGTCTCCTACCAAAGTTCACAGATACTCTTCACATGAAGTCCAGCAATTTAGACCTTTATACTAAAATGCCAAACCACAGGTGGAATAACTGGGTTTTATGTAGAGCATCTTGATAGCCAAGTTTTCTCCTATGGACAACAAACCTGTCCTTCAGTTCTGTGTGTTTAACAGAAGTTCAGCAGCTGCCTCATCAGGGACCAGTCTCGCTGGTACAGCCCTGGGACACTACTCTCAGCTAACTGGTGCAGGCCTTTCTGCACAGATTTTTCCTTAGGTTTAGAGCATTTTAGACATTTAGAGTACCTGTCAAAGACATAATTAGCTATAGGTGGGAAAAATAATAGTTAAAAAGAAAGACCTGGAGTACATTCCACGACTTCCCCCTTGTACCCGGTCTCCTCCTCCAGCTCCCGCAGTGCAGCACTCTCTGCAGTCTCGTTTTCCTCCATGAGGCCTGTGAGATAAATACACACTAGCACTCACCCAAAATACCCACCCCGAGGTCTAATCCAGCTTTATGGAAGAGGTGAAATGTCCTCGCTACTCTACTTTACAGAGGGATAAACTGAGTGTTAGGAAGGACTCCAGTCCCTGGAGACATCATGTTGCTGCCCACATCTTCACCTGATTACCTACAGCAGCATGCGACCTTCCCAAGGAATGGCATTCATGGCCTCATGAGGGAAAGAAGCCAAATGCTTGGAGTCTCAGAGGAAGGAAGAGTGGAGGGAGATGAAGCCTTCTACCACCAGACTGCTGTGCAAAATGTCTCCATCTGCTAAAATGAACTCGTGCTGTATTATTGTCAAATATTCCTGTTTCTGAATAGCAGACTGGGCCACAGAGCTCACCGTGGTTTTCTGGTTAGAGCAACTTCATTAAGACTGACACTTCAGCACATCAAAACACACCTAACTGTCACCCTTACGTGTCTCAATTCAATGTCCCAGCCACTTACCTGCAGGAAATTCCAAGCAATAACCATTAATTGGGGGCCTGAACTGTTTCACTAGGACCACACAGTCGTAGTGGAGAGTTCTCTGTAGTACTGCTATCACTGCTACACCTACCAAAAGCAAAGGAAGACACAAGTTACATAGAGTTTGAGTACAGCAGAAAGTGAGCAGTTAGTGCTAGTTCTGGAAAGGAACCTAAGCACTGTTATTCTGACCATTAAGTATTTAGATGCCTGCTCCAAAGTCCTGAATGATAGATTTATGCTTCTTATACATGGTGAAGCATAGAAGGCCAAAGTGGGATCTTCAAAGTACCCCAGCAAAGGAGAGGCACATGTACCAAGCAAGACCAAGCCTCAGCCCACCAAAAGCTAGGGAGGGGCTCTCTTGCCTACAGAGACTGTTTGGATGCCACTGAATGGAACTCTCCCACATTCCTTTCAGGGCTGAACCATGTCCCTTTTGCACAAGGAGAACTTTGTCCCTAGCCTCTAACAGCAGAACCAGTTCATTGGTGTGTGGGTTACTCTGTATCAGGTCATCACCAAGTCCTTGAAATTGCTCCAGGGTTCTAAAGTGAATACAGTGACCTTGGGGAAACACTCCTACCAGTAAGGTCCTGACTTGCCAGCCCTGAAATTAGGCTGCTGTTAGCTGAGGGGCACAGCAGGCTCAGCTGAGCTGCTGCTTCCACATCCTCACTCATTCCGAAATTGATCGGCTCTAAGTCTGCACTGTCAGTTTACCAGAAGAACTTTCACAGAAAAAAACCTCAAACAGAAGAAGTCACCAATGTCTTACCATCAGCTGAAACACCCTTCTTGTTGCCAGTACGCTTTACAGTTTCCCAAGTTCTGTTTAACACAGCGAAAAGAAGAAAAGAATATGTAAGTTGTCTCCTACCCTTGCTACTTCCATTTAGAATCAAAACGTACCCTCAGGCAGTGAGACCCCTCAGAAAGGCCCCGGCTCAGGCAGGCCCTGTCATGCACTGGCACTACAAAAATGTCCACAGTATAACCTTGTTTTGCCTACTTAAAGGAGGGAGAGAGAAAACAGGTAACTAACGATCACTAAAAATAAAGGAAAGATAAATGACTGCTGCAGAACAGGCAACTCCTATAGAAGTCATCCTGGAAATGTGCAAACTATAGCTATTTATATATAAACCACGTCAGATTTTGAAAGACAGCTTTGTAAGAAGGCCACGTGCATTTGGTCCTTTACCTTGCTTTTACATAAGGTTTATAGTGCAAGTTATTGTGAACTCTCAGCTCAGTTACCTGAGCACACAAGGAGCACACAGGCAAAGACGACCAAAGCTTCTCTCTCAGAATAAGCAATGGGCTGAGCAAAGCCCAGAAATCCTCCAGGAAAAAAAATCCTTTCACAACAGTTCAAATTTTTATTTTTATTTTTTTTAAGGATACTTTGCTAATGTGTTGGGAGGCACTAGATGAAGCAATCAGTGCAGAATCTGACACGTGAAGGGGAGGGAAGTAAAGCTATGTTGTCACATCTAGATACATACAGTAGAACTAAAGTATACAAAAGGAAGGGGCAGGAGTGACATTACACAAGAGGACAGTAATTTGTCAATAGTGTGAAAGATCCAGCACCATCAGCAGGGAAAAAGGAGCCCTTAATGAAGAGCCAGAAAAGCCATGGGATGGACTATCTGACCATCAGTCTAGTTGCAGAGCTAGAACTTGCTGACAAGGAGCAGGAAACACAAAGTAAACCAGGGTCCAGTGTGCCCAAAAGGATTTAGGAGCCAAATTTGATGCCAGATGCTAGCACATCTGCTAGGGTAAGACTTTCTTTCTCTAAACAGTATGAACCATAAAGGAATTGCAGAATGAATGGATCTCCTCTCTGCTGAGTGACAGGTCTGTAATGCTCACACTCCCTAGCCTGGGGCTAGTCAGTATGACTGGGAACACTGCAGGAATCCAAAATGCCAGCCAAACAATTACCTGCTTTTACCAAAGGGATCGGTGTAAGTTGTTTCTTCAAGCTTCAGCCATTTTCTTTCTACAATTACCTAAAATAAAGAACACTTTGTTAAATATATTGTAAGATTAAGCCAAACAATATTTGGAGGATAAGGGGAGAAACAAAACAACTGCTTTTGGATTCTTTTGAAGACAAACTCTAAGCATGAATGCATGCAGGAACATGAAACAACATTCCTGGAACTCAAGGGGAAAAAAACCCATCTAAGTTCTTGAACTGGAATACAAAATAATATGAGTAACTTTTCTTAACGTGGCTTTTATAAGCAAGTTTCAATGAATTCAGTGTGATTTTATGAACTGGAATGTCCTCATTTTTTTAGAAGAATTTTGCAAAGGTCATGTTTCAGCTGAAAAAGAGTCACCGGTCTGCACAGATTTTGCTTTACTGGTGATCATGAGGACCCACTTATGAGAGAGCACAGCCCAAGAGCTGAGACTGAAACCCAAACTCTTCTGAAATGTTTCTTGCTGTGGTCTGACTGAGGCCTTGTGTAGCTGCTGTTTTCTGTAACTGCCAGCACTGATACATACCTGCCTGTTTAGGATTCCTGAGAGCTGCTGATTGAGTGCTTGGCGTTCACATTACTACAAAATGTCTTTTCTGAGCTAAACAAGTTTATTTTCCCTGTGATGTTTCCTCATCTTTTATGTAATTCCTTTAAAAGGGAAAAATCCCTAGGTATTGGCCCAGCAGTTTACTCCTTTAAATGTAACTTGTATTTTAAGCTTTGCTAAAGGCTTGTCTTCAGAATTCTGTTTCAACTTGGCCATAGGTCTGAGTACAGAAATCAGAAGTAATCAGTAAGATGAACAAATCACTTCCTATTGTCTAATGAGACATGCCACTGACAGCAAGGGAGCAAACATCAGCAAGGGGAAAAAGGATCTGGGAAAAAACCCACAACGTTAAACTGCAGCAAAGGATGAGGCCAGGAGGTCACTGGTGTGGCTGGCACACTACAGTCCTCCAGAGCAGCACAAGGAGCAAACAGGGCCCCTGTGCCCATGTGGATCTCAAAATTAAAAGTGAGGGACTCAACAACTAAAAAAAAGAATATAGAGAAATTAAATGTAATAGATGATGCAGCTACAACTAGAGTATAGAAGCAGAGCAGAGCACCAGCTGGAGGCAGAAGGCAAATCAGAAGTGATTCAGGGGTCCAGTAAATTATAACTGAGCGGGTTGAACTCACATAATTCTTACAATGTGTTCCTCTGAACAATTGTTTTCGTAGACAATTGAAATAACAATGGTACTGCTATGGTTGTAAACGTGGCTACATGTATTTTACATGTAGGATTTTTGGCATTTCTTTTGGAAAGTGTAACATTGCCACCTAAATGGAATCAGAAAAGGAGAACTATTGTGTTCTCAGAAGGGTTTTCTAATGGCTTTGGAGTCACAAAAAGAACAGGAAAGGAGGCAATGAAGTGTATTATAGTCATTACAGGTACAAGAAGTAATTCTGTTTGGAAGCATTCAGGTATATCTTAAATAGCCTTGTATTCCCTCCTAAATCACTGCAGAATTAGAGTACTGGAAGATCCAGAAGAGAAACAGATGAAAAACCATGTTGCACTGGTTGCCCAAGGAGAGGAATATATATACTTCAGTTACATAAACACTCCCAAATGTTTTGTGTCAATGAATATTTTTAAACATTGCAGAGACACAAAGGACTTGGTTATTGATCATGATCCCATACTCCTGCAGCATTCAACCACCCTGGCAGATCACTACCCCTGGCACCAAGTTATTGTTTGCTAGGCAGAAAGGGGGAAAGGCTGAAATCAGAACTGTATCATTGTCCCCAGGAATCTCAGAGCAAAAAAGAAATCCCTAGTCTGTAAGAAATTAGACCTGTCCAAGCTCCAAAAAGACTCCTGCTAAAAAAGTTAAGTTTTATGTCTACAAAACAATGTCAGACAGTGTCTTGTTTTCAGTCAGGTATTCTTAACTACAGCTTTTGGCCTCTACTTTGTCATGGCACATAAAGAAAAAGTACTATAGGACATGTAGCATAAATATTTACAGTGGGAGTGGTTCCACAATCTAGTAAAGTAAGACGAAGCACCCTTGCTGCTAACAGCCTACAGGGTGAGAAAACTCTGAGGGTGCCAAGGTTCCCTAGAAGATAACTCTGCCACTGGCCTCCTCGGGTGCACCATGAAAACCTGAGGAAGCTGGCCCAGAATCACAGCTTCTGCTTTGCCAGATCCCCTGTTTAGGGCCTAAGGACACTTTGCAGGGTGTGTTGTACTTAATTTTAGGAGGAGTTATTTTTACTGCTTTATCTATTTGATAGGAAAATAACATCTGCTTTTGCTTATAACAGCCTGACCGCGAGTTCCCAGAAACACAGAGAAGGAAATAAGATCAGCTGCTGCTTTCATGGAAGAAGATATTCCAAAGTCAGGCCACATAGTTATTGAAGAGTTACGGAACCTCTTTTAATACAAAGGCCACGGGCAGAAGCATGGTAAATACTCTCTGGTTTTTTGGGTGTATTAATCCCATCAAAAAACTAAATAGCTTAAAATATGCAAGATCTAATTCCAAACTTCCAATGACACAAAAGAGTACAATATTATAAACCACAAATTAATAATAATTAATAAGAGGCATTATGAAAATTAAAAAAAAAAAGGAAGATAATATGAAAATATTACCTGCAAAACCACAGGTCTTAATAGAAAACCTAAAAAGCCTACAAAAATTAAACTCTTTATGCTTGAGAAATATTCATATTAAAAAACCACACAAGGGGAAAAGCCATAAATGTAACTCAATAATGTGAGCCTCTTCTTTCCTGGCAAAGTTTTGTACTTTGAAACCTAAAGAAATTGCAAGACTGTGTTCATTCCACTGAAGGAAAGCTGGATAAAAGAAACTACATTTGCGTTGTAACAACAGTGTGAGGCCTGCCTTTGACACCAAAGATTAACTTTAAAGGATTCACTTAAAAGAGAATACAGGCAGTTTAAATGGGGGTGAAAGTGCTTCTAATAAGCACACAGAAGTAACCCCAAATTCCCTCCTCAGGACCTGGTATCTTCTGATTCTGTGAAGATGCGAGCACAATATCTTTAAAAAAATCTTACTACCTCCTTACTAATGTCTTTAGAACAGCAATTATCTCAAGTCAAACAGTTTCAGAAAGCATCAAAGAAGGAAGAATCCTAAATCTTAAGGCAAATCTTAAGTAAGTGTATCATCATCTTAAAGGAACAGAAAACAAGGCTGAGTTTCAGGATCCACCAATTTGTAGTCTCTCAGAGGTAGCAGCATTATTTCTGAACACTGAAAACAACCTGAACAAACAATACAAGAAACAGCTGTAAAATAATAACAAAAAATGTTTAAAATAACACAACACTGTAAATATCTCTCTTCCCATTGATAATTCCTATGATTATTTCAACACAGAGAATCCCACTTCCTTTTACACTGTCTGACCATCAGGAAGACGTGTTTTGTCTGTTGAATAGATTTTACAGCCATACAGCATCTATAGCATTTCTTACTCTGCACTCACAAAGGGTCTGACAGGTCTCAGAGAACTGTTATTTAACAACAAAATGTGTCAAAACCAAGCATGTTATACCTCTTCTTTAAGGACGAATTGTTTAGCAGTTTTGGGAACTTCTGTGGGTGTCTCAGCTGCCATTTTCAGGAAAGTCAGGCTTTTCTCCTCCTGGGCAAAGTCCAGATTACTATGAAACAAAGTCAACATTTGCTTTCAGAGTAAAGTTAAAAGGTTCATTTCTGCATTTTAAATTAACAAATAAGACCTGCTGGAGAAAGTTAGGGACGTGTGATGGCAAGTGCAATTCCACCTGAGGGTTGCAGAGTCAAATATGGAAAGGAGAAGCGGAAGTTTGGGTCAAATCCCTGAGTTGCATAGTTGTAATAATCCTACGAGCTGCCAAGCAGCTCTGCTGGCTAAAGACAACCTCCTTAACTATTCAAAGGTCAGACACACATAGACAAAACTGATCTGGGTCAGTTGAACTGTTTCATTCTGATCTGGGTGAAATGCTCTGCCAACACAGCATTACCAAAATAGGACTATGCATTCTACCCTCAGAATTGAAAAAAATCTTACACCAAGAGGACTTCAGGGGCAAAAAATGCTCTTGAGAAAAACCAGAACTAGAACTTACCTCCACCTTTAACACAGCACAAATAAACCCATGAATGACTCAATCCTTCCCGCCAAAACCAGGGTCAAGAAGTGACCTGTGTGTCACAAGCCTGGGTGGCACGTGGAGCTAGCGTGACCCAAGCCCACCGGCCGCTCTCACTAGGAATGACGTGGCTAAAACTGCCAAAGGCAACTCAAGAGTATGCCCAGCACAAGGCTCTGCACCTGCAGCTCAATGCCTCGGCCCCCACCCACTGCTCCCTGAGAAGATAAGGCTGTCCACTCACTCCCTCAGACCAGCTCTAGCTGAAAGGGACAGCAGGCAGCAGAAAGATCTGGTGCATTAGATTCACCATTAGTCCCCTCACCCCAGAGCTATGGGCAGCACTGTCTGCACAGAAACTCTTATTCCAAGGAAGCACATCTCTGATATTAAGTTGTAATACTGAAGTCCTGAAAATCAGCATGAATCATATGCAAAAAAGACAATGAAAAGAAGCAAACCAGTTTAAACATTAGGAGAGATGAGATAATATTAAAGAGCTCTATCATTCTTAGCATTGCTGCTTGTAAACTTTTCATACAGTCAACAGGAATGTTTCTGTTCCCTTCAGCCAGGGTTTAATAAATAAGGCTCTGTGGGGTCTCCAGCACTGAATGGGGCCAGAAGCAAGAGCACACTTGCTCTGCCATACCCAGCTTGAGCACTTCCACTTTTTACTTCACCTTTACCCTTTCATGGTAACACCTACTGCACATTTGTGAAACCTTTCAGAGCATGCAGCAACAATCAGCTTTCTTATATATTAGATTTGCATTTAATTCCACAAAGTAGTTCCAAGCAACAGTCAGTACACAATAACTGGATCAAAACTAGAGTACATAAATCCATTTCTTCAGGAGGTACACAGAGCAGGCTCTGTCTATTAGAGAGTCTTGTTGGATCAAATGGGTCATAGCAGTCAAATGTTCAAATTGGTTTTATGTAACTTAAGTCCTGAAAAGGAGCCCTGACTTACTAAACCAAATCCTGTTCTTTCAAAAATATGTTCTATAACCCTTTCTTAAAGCAATGAAGCTCCACCTTAAAACCATGTAGGTTTACTATGTACCTTACTACTACTTGTAGGAAAAACTGTTCCAGAACCTCACTTGCTTATCTTCCAGTTTCTATCCCACATTAGTTCAGTTAGCTGTTACCCATTTGCTCTTGATCCAGCAATGCCTCCATCTCCCCTCACTTAGGATTCAAGAGCAGTAGCTGAACACTGGCCACAGTCTCTTGCTGCAACTATAAAACACAAGATCAGACTTTCCACCAGACATACGCAAAAGAAACGCAGCCCAGCAGAGCAGTTCCAGGAGGCTCCTGGTCACCCAGAGCAAACAGTCAAAGGAGGCTCTGAGTATACAGCTCTAAAAATATAAACCCCTCACATCTAGCTACAACAAAATCATCTCCTATGTTTGGAAAGAACTGTAGCCTTTTTGATCAGCAATATAAACACACCAAGGGAACAGATATTGAACTGCATCCTTGCTAAACTTTTTTTCTCTCTGTGATCAGGCTGAAGAAGTCTTCCTCGTTCAGTCTCCCCTCAGAGGAAATCCTGTTCCACTGATCATATTAATCCTTCTGTGGAAGCCAGCAGGTACCAGTGTGTCCTCCTCAAATGCAGATGGCCAGAATTTCACCCTAAATCCCACAAGCAGCTACATTTATCATTTGTGCTGATTTCTAATACCTACAGCAGTCACAAATACCAGCTAGAACCTGGTCTCCTTGCAGAAGCTGTTTTCAACACAGCTTGCTCTCTTCTGCAGGGGACAGATTCAAGGCTGGCTTGCAACTTCAGATAACAAAAACCAAGCCACTGGTAATTACTGGTGTGGATTATCACTAATACCTAAAATAGGTGAAAACAAGAGAGAGACTGGTCTATCTCAGCCTCTGTAGTTTCGATCTCCTCCACAAGTGGGTGCAATAACTCCGTGTACCAGTGACATTTTAAAAAGTTTCACCAAAAATATGTTTTTTTCCAAATTCACTTTACTGTATGGAAGTGAGAATTTCTGCTGCTAGAGAGCTGCAGTACCACTTGGTTAAACGAAGGCTGCAACTCTGGTGTCTCACATTAGTCTTAGTGACAAGGGTGTCAATGCTTTTTGTTTAAAACCAACATCAGCCACAACAGAAAATTAAACTCAATGCTACAATGTTGGGCTTCCAAAGCCCGGTGCAGGTTTTGGAATAGACCTTCTCTTGCAGCCCTCAGACAAGAAGGTTCTTTTATCTCATAAAATTATCACTGCATCATTTGAGTTAGAAATGCAACACAGCTCACACAGTGGCCTGGGAACCTGCCTATCTGATTTAGGATTGCATGAACTCTATGAATACAGATTTTTAAGTTATCAGTGCACTTTCAAGAATATGCCAAAGCGTCCATGCTTATCAGACTCCTTAACAGGAATCAAAAGTACCTGAACTATACATTAGGAAAAATAAAAAGTTTTGCTTGCTTCTACTTTCTCTGACGATTTTTGTGGCTGGTATCCCAGGCTGTTTCCAACAAACCCTGCTACTTGTTCTATTTATTTCAGCTAGGGCCAAACTCAGTCCTGAAAAAGGCACACCATTTAAAAGAGGTGTACAGGGGAAAAAAAAAAAAATGTCACTTTAAACAAAAATAATTTTAAAAAGGTGTCACTTTATTCCCATTGCTTATTCTTGTATTGAGTGGCTTCCTTTCAAGGCAATACCCAACCATTCTACACTTCCCAAATTATCCTTCCAGGAGTTAAAATCTGAAGCCAGCAGAGGCCTGTGAATCAGCTCAGAGTAGCCAAGCTACCAGGGCTTTACAGTAACCCACCCAAGTCATGATAGATGGATTAGCTTTTCTAAATCACTTCAAAAGATTTTCTCTGATCCAAACTACACATTCCAGCTGACTGCAACCAGATCTCATGGAAGCTCGGCAAGGGTGTCCCAGGGCAAGCTCAGGATAAAACAAAATACAGGCTTTCTTATCAAGAGTGTGCCAAAGGAACAGGGGCAGCATTTTACTCATGATTTAACCAGCAGCACGCCGAGATCTGTGTGCTGAAGGTAAACATCTCTAAAAACTCCTAAGTGGCTTTGAACTTGTGACCATCAGGCAGTGCACTTGCAGTTCAGCATTTTTTCTGTGTTGTTATCCACCTTCCAGACAACTGATATGTGAGAGGGCCTGGGGAGACAGCCTCAAATGGCAGATGAGAGCATCTGAACCAAGCACCACTTGGAAACAACTCAGCCCTCCACACAGGGGACACAGGCACAGAGACAACAGCAGAACCACAGAACTTAAAAAGAACACATCATTCAGTTTTTACTTGACTTTCCCCAGAATGAAATAAAATGCAGCCCTTCTTGAAGGAAGAAAGTTCTGTTGCTGTAGAGCTCTGCTAAAAGATCACAGAATTGTTTAGGTTGGAGTGGACCTTTACGAATATTGAGTCCACCATTAACCCAGCACTGCCAAGACTAAACCATGTCCCTCAGCACCACACCTACACGTCTTTCAAATGCTTCCAGAGATGGCAACTCCACCACTTCCCTGGGCAGCCACTTCCAGAGTATGACAACCCTCCAGGTGAAGAAGTTTTTTCCCAATATCCAATCTAAACCTTCCCTGGTACAACTTGAGGCCATTTCCTCTTGTCCTATTGCTTGTTAGTTGGAAGAAGAGACCAACCCCCACTTGGCTCCAACCTCCTTCCATGGAGATGTAGAGTGAGAAGGCCTCTCTTGAGCCTTTTTTCTATGCTGAACAACGCCAGGTCTCTCAGCTACTCCTTGCATGACTCGTGCTCTAGACCTATCGCCAGCTTTGTTGCCCTTCATTTGGACATGCTTCAGGCCCCTAAATGTCCTTCTTGGAGTGAGGGGCCCAAAACTGAACCTGGTATTCGAGATGTGGCCTCATCAGTGCCCAGTACAGGGAAACAACCATTCCTCTATGCCTGCTGGCCCCACTAGTGCTGATAGAAGCCAGTTGGCCTTCTTGGCCACCTGGGCACACTGCTGGCTCATGTTCAGCCAGCTGTCCACCAGCACCCCCAGATCCTTTTCCACCAGAC